TCATCGCTGACAATGCACGCTTCTTTCTTCCCGTCTCCGCTGCGGCCTCGGCCTCAGAGCTGCCTGACCCGTCTTACCGCTTGTTTGTCATCTCCAATCACTTGCTCTTTGAGCGCCTCTGACAGACAGGGGTATTAGTTGCCTCGCTCTGGTGTTGAGAGCCCGGCTTCCCTGCTGAATAGAGAAACTATGTATGAACACCACACAAAAACATGTAGCGGCACACAATGGCACGCTCCCACAACCAGCTGCTCCTCAGTCGGTGTCACTGTGAAGGATCTGCAGTTCTGCCGGTATGTTTTATTTCTGCAGAAACTTTTGTTTCTCAGCATGTAGCTTTGCTTTTAAAGATTAGTTCAAACGTGTATTGTTTGAACTAATTGCAAATGTGTGCAAAACTTTGTCAATGTACAGCTAACGTTGAAAAAACAAATGTGCAATTGTGGTGTTTCCATTAAATACAAAATGCAATTAAAATCCGATGTGAACAAGTTTTGTCTTGCAATAAGTCATTAAAAGACACACAGTGCCATCATCCTCCAACTACTTCCTGTCATTGTCTTCTTTGTGGTTTGCATCAGTGGACACATCCAGCTGTTGATGATGTGACTCGTGTGATGCAACAAAATTGTTTCCATTGCAGTTTTGTGAAATTACTCAATTTCACTGGGACCAAAACTTTTTAGTTTTATCAACATTGGTGTGTTTCCATTACGCAGATTTATTCTCAGTGTCAAATTGTGCAATTTTATGGTTAATGTGAACAAATACAGATTTGCAGTACAATTAGATAACTATGGAAGCTTTTTCACACTTTAATGCCTCAAACAAAAACAAAACAACAAGATGAAGTATAAAATTGATTTCATTAAATTGTTTATTATGGGAACAGGCTTTCTAAAACAATCCAACCCTGTGTTGAAAAGTAATTGTCCTATTTGAGTTTTCTTGATCTGCCTGCTCACAGTGAGCCAGGTTCTGGTTCTGCTGGAGGTTTTTTCCTGTTGAAGGAGAGTTTTTCCTCCCCCCTGTCACTACATGCATGCTCAGTATGAGGAATTGATGTCTGATGATTGTCTGCTGTCGCGATGTCCTGCAGTGAATGCTGCAAGTCAATGACTCAGTGCAATCTGAATAAATAACTGGGTTTAATCCACAGTGTGATAACTAGGATTAATTGGATTGTATGGGTCATCAAATTGAAACTTTTTTCAATTCAGTGATGACACTTGTGAATTGACGTTATGTAAATTGACTGAATGCATGGAAAGTGGAATACAAAGACATTGAGGTGTGCCTCTGAAAGAGGGAAAGGTTGGTCTGATCGTTTTGTGTCTGTGGAGCCACAATTAACACACAAAAGAAATGTAGGTTAAATGAGGCAGTCTGCGGACACACCGAGACGAAGGATTCAAAGTGAGAGATAGAAACACTAAAACGAGCTAAACGTCGTCAAAGAGGGAAATAGTATTTTGGTATTATTCTGCCAAAATAACTAATTCAAAAGCAAATCTATGCTTTATTTTCGTTTTTGCGTCTTTTAACACTTTCTCTAGCATGTGTCGCAACCCTTCCCATTAATAAGGTGGGTTTTAACAAATAAGTACCATGTGTTTTGTCTAAAGTGGAAGAAGTATTATTCAAAGTTCACATTTTTATATTTCCATTTGCTCCTAAAAACAGCGCAAGCACTGATAAAATTCTGGAAATAATTGAATGTCTTTTTGTTTCAAAAACCTCCGTTATCTAGCAACTCAAATGAAGCTCTGCGACGTTTGGTCAGCTGGTTTTTACCGCTGTACTCACCGTACAATGGTTGCTGGAAAAGACAAGTATTTTGTAATTGACTTACAACCAGAAACCACATGATGCATTGTTGTTGGTGGGTTTTAGTCTTGATCTAAAGAACTCAGTGTTTCGGCGGTTTTGCAGTTTTCTGGAAGTTTGTTACAGATCTGTGCAATGCAACTAAAAATAAACACATGAATACGTTTCTCCAGATCTTGTTGGGACATTAGTCCTCTAATCCTGGAGATGTGCCTTATGTGATAGGAGACCAACTTTGTAGCTGCCTTTATGTGACTCTGAAGGTTCAAGTCAGAGTCCATCAGTGCATTCAGATTTCAGGCCTGATCTCTAGTTTATGCCTTTGCTGATGCCTTGTTGTTCTTTAAGTTCAAAGATTATAACGTCAGTATAACTTTTTTAAAAGTTTGATGTGAAGCAAAAAGTTTCACATCCTTTATTTTGCATATTTTTTATGCATTCTGCAGAAGTTGTTCATGGTCCTGCAAAGCAGAGCCAGTCTGAAGGCTCTTCATTATGTGGGTGAAACCAGAGTTTGATCCTTTCTGTCTGAGCAGCCTTGGTGACGGTGTGCAGCATGCCTGCTGCGACTGGTGTGGGTGTTCTGCGGTCTGCTGCGGTCTGGGGGTTTACCAGCACAGAGATGCAGCGTGCCATTCATGCATTAAGAGCTGCTGCTGATTTAAGTGTCAGAAGTGATGGAGTGGCTGCCTGCCCTGCCAGTTTCAGCTTGCCACGGCTGGCCAGCTGAGCTGCGGATCGGGCACGCAGCATTGCTTCCCCTTCCTTCACATGCAAACTGAACGTATCACTGAAGACAACGTATCCAGACGGGCCAGTCTGACTGGATTTAAAAAAAGAAACACCTTCAGAAGCTGCACTAAAAACATAGAGCATGTGGCTCTTAGTGCAGTAAGTCTGGAGTGGCACATCCAGCAGGCCACCCACCAGGAAGGAGTATTTGAGGAATGCTTTTTACTGGATTGCTTTTCTCATGTCTCTCTCTCGCTCTTTGCCGTCATCCTCCAAAGACTTGCAGAGTTTGGTGCTTTAAATCTTATATTAGATGCAGGAGTGTGTGTGTGCAGCCAGGTTGGTGTGCTTTGTTTGCTTGGAGGCAGATTTTCCCCATGAGCTTTGACCACCAGGGTTGTGGCGCTGAGTCAGACGCTGCTGCTTTGACCTTCTTGTTGACAGACAGTTCAGAAAAAAAAAATCACTTTGCTCTGTTGTTTTCCCGAGATCATTTCTCTACTGTTTCCATCAAATAAGAAATTGCATTAAAATCAGCTGTGAATAAGTTTGTTGACACAATAAAGTAAACAATGACACTTTTTATCAAAAAAAATTTTTTTTTCAAAATTGGCCAGTTTTTATTAAGCAAATTTATTTGAGTAACGTCAGTTTTATGGTTCATGGAAGTGTGTAAATCCATGTGGTGGCATTTTGAAGGTGAAAATCTAAACAGTTTGTGTCCAGGATGTGTGGGATCTGCAGAGATGTTAGTTGTTCTTTTCTGGACCCTCAAGTTGTACAAGTCCTGGGTGAGTGTTCGTTTCAGCCAACCCACCCAGAGATGAACGAACACAGTACCGACTGAATAATGTCTGTGTTGAAGATGACCAGCAGATCATTTGATAGGTTGTACTTCTGAAGAAAGTTAAGTTCCTGCTGCACCTACTCTTACATGTAAAATAATATTCAGTAACCAAAATGAAGCATACCAAACTACATAAGTCAAACTTCAGTCCTTCAGCAAAGGAAAGCAGAGTCGTCTGATCTCAGAAAATAAAATTCTCTCACCAGACCAGATGCTTTTTGATTGGGTTTAATATTTTGGCAAGCAGTCGATAGCGATTCCGGCAGATCCAGGCGCTGGCAAGACTTTGTAAACGAGACTGAACAGGAGACGCCCTTTATCCACAGTATCCACCTGTACACATAGTGCAGTGTCGGTACTGTATTTTCAGTTTGCATAAATGTTTGGAGACCCATCTCTCACACACACCAGGGCAAACAAACTGTAGGCTGAGTCCATGTTTGCTGTGATCAGCTTGTGTGACAGTGTGAATGACATGCTCTAATGCTGATCTAAAGACCTGCAGTAATTTCTCCTGATGCGTTCTGCGGCTTGCAGCGCTGCGTGGAGGTGTGTGTTTGCTGACGTGGGGCTGAACAAGGGAGTTGCCTGCAAGTGGTGAGTGATAAAGGGTGGAGAACTGAAGGCCTTTACTGATGTGAACTGTCATATCTGCTTTCTGATCAGATATTTGGAAATCTTGAGGTCTTTCCAACCGTGTGAATTAACGCCGAAGTGCTTTGCCTAATTTTTTAAATTCTTGATTTGATTTATTTATTTCAAACACGTTTTTAAAAAGAAGATGTAATAGTTTAGTTCCCAGGTTTTATGTGATAGTTTCACAGGTTTGAATCCTTGCCTGATGACCTTTCATTACCTACTTTCAAATGAAGGCCAGTAAAATCTTTAAAACAACTACACCTAAAAGTAACTTTCCAAAAAATTACTCTAGCTAGTTTAACTACTTGCTACCCAACTCTGGATGAATGTTGAATCACATGGCAAATATCCATCATTAGTTATCATTAGTTATCCAAAAAAAAAACGACACAAAACAAAACTTTCCAGTAATTTAACATTATGTAATTAGTGATCTGTAATAAATTGACCATTGATTATTTCCAGCTCATTTCTTATTTTAATGACATTTTTTTAAATTGTTGTTTATCAATAGATTAACCAATATCTAATGGGTAAATCACCACTAACTAAACAAGGAGGTATTACATGTTTTCCATTCACAAACTACTAACTTATAGCAGAATCAAGTAACTTCATTTTAGTTGTTATAAAAATGCTGAATACATCAAAAATAACTTTGTAGTTGACTGCTTGAAAATGGCCTCTGTCTCTTTAAGAAGCTCCTGCTCTCTTCAACACTCCACCTTCAGCACATCATGACAATACTCCACCATGATGGCGTTTACACGTTCTTAGAAGCATTAGGAGCTCTGCCAATGCGCAGTGTTTGCTAATAGCTGACTTCTTATGCAAAATTTTTATTTTTTGTGATTTTATAAAGTCTTAACTCCTTTCAAAGATTCCCTTTTTGGGTGCCATCTTTGCATTTTCTCCAGATAAAAATAGACCACAGTCCACATATGACTGGAGAGACTTTAGGGAATAACCATTTCTTGGTATTTATTTGAATAAATTACATTGACTCATCACATTTCTTATCTTTACATCAAGCGTACAGTCATAGAATCCAGTGCAAGAACAGAACAAAAACACAAACAAAACACGAAAATATTTCAAAGACAATCATGTGCAGCACAGAAAACTCCACCCGCCTCACTCCCAACTTGTAACATCACTTCTGCGTTATATACTATATATATATACACATCTATACTGTTTGTGAATACTTTTGACACAGTTACAAAAATAAAATACGTTACTGAAGATGCGTAACTATACACACAAGGTGAAAACAAAACAGAAAAAGCTGTACAGTCCTCATTGAGGGCAAAGATACACAGAAATCTTTAAAAAAAGTGAAAGAAGGAAGGAAGAATTTAGCTTAAAAAATGAATAAATACACAACCTCTTCAAACTGCAGCACGATTTGTCACCAGCCAACAAAAAATTGTGCTTCCCTTTGACATAAAAGTAACACTTTTTATATATAGTTGAATTTGCATCATTTACTGTAGTGCTGCTGAATGTAGTAAACCGATCCCTCCATTATTGTTTTTAAGCTAAACACTGTCAGAAACGGTTCTCACTAGCAGCAAAGGTTCTCTTTACTTCTTTCTGTGCAGAACATGAGCCAGATACACACATTTCCCCCTAAAATTACATGCATCAACATTAATACGCTGAAAACATCTGCAGAAAGTTTAATGCATCGTCAACGTAGAAGAGTAGAAAGCCTTAGAGATGATGTGTGCTCTGCTGCGTCAAGCTGATGAAAACAAAGTACCGTGACTTTTTGATTGTTAGAAAACAATCTGGTGCACGGTAGATAAATTTAACAAATGTTGAGCTCTGTTGAGATATGGGAAAATAAAACTTTTACTATTATTACCTCAATAAATATAAATTAACTCTCAGTCTACTCCTTTATTTGCACATTATCTTGTGCTCCTGAAAATATTCACAATTATTCTCCTCTCTGTGTTTTCTACAAGTAAACTGGAGGGTAATTATTGTACTAGTAGGCAAAGAGATGCCTGCCTCTGCAGGAGAAACTATTGCTCCAAAGAGCAGTTAAATAATGATAGTTTAGAGGTTTTAGAGTGAGGTGTTGCTATTAGTATTGAGCGGTCAGTATTTTAACTTCAGATTAGAGAGATAAGCGTTGCAGAGAGGATTTCTGCCATCTTAAAAACACCCAGATTCAGAAATTGAATTGATGCAAACTTTGTTTTATAAATCTTAAAGCTGATGTCATTTCCACATTAAACAGTTGTTTAAACCACCTGTTATGTATAATCTAAAGTTTCATCTTATCATTTCCAACCAAACTGTTTGGTGTGAAAGAAGAAAGGAATTAATGAATCACTTGCAGCAAATACTAAACTGCAAAAGGAAAACAGGTAATCATACTTAGAAAAATGGAGTAAATTTGTTTAGAGCAATCAAGGGAAGTTTATCCAAGTAAATATATTAAGTTTACTAAATTCTCATGTGAAACAAAACTAAGTAAAGTAAGATAAAGTAATATTAGCTCAATTTTATTTAAATTGATGTTCTGTTCTCTTTTTTTATGCTAATGGTGGAGCTTGACTCGGTGTGTTCTTGTGGACCCTTAAAGGTGTAGGGTTAGGGTTAGGGTTAGAGATAACCCTACTAACATCATAAAACCGTTTAACCGCACATTAACAGTTCAACTTTGGTCTGACCATTCAGAATTGTCCCTACTTCAGAATAAGATCAGGAATATAAACATCTAACTACTTGACTAATTCTCCAAACTGTCAAGTAAGATACTGACTGCCAATAACAACTCTACAAAACCCCACAATAAAAATCCAACTTTCACTTTAAGACTTTTAAGGTATTCAGTCACAATACATGAACTATCTTTTCTACTGGGACATATATTTAAGGATTTAATGCTTCAACCATATATTTTGTTGATTACTGAAAAAATGAGAAACCATAAAAGATGTTTATATGTTATGACTTCCTTTAAGAGGTAAAAACCTTCCCCATTCACTATGTTGCATCAAACATGCAGCCGTCTGTCCTTCCACAATGCTTTGCTGCGTGAAAAATAAAGAGCAAATTGACAAACATGCCTGTGATTTTGGCTAAAACTGATCTGAGTCAAATCATTCTTTGCATGAATATCTTAAGAAAATGATTGAAAATGTCAGAGTGGCCATTATTAAAAGGAGGAAAATTTAACACAAAACCTACCACATGACTTTTGTTTAAATGATTTGAGCTTCATGCTGAACAAACAGACAGCATGTTGACTCGTTTGTCATGCCTGCTGAACATGAGAGAAAAGCTTCTACCTTCTAAAATACGAAGACTGAGAAAAAGCATGAATCAGTAAAGCTGTTCTAATAAACTAATAATGGACTGACAGCTGACTACAACAGAGACGAAATGCAAAAATGACTATAGAAGCTTGAAAGTACCTTAAGTGAGACAGAGAAGACGTTACGTCAATGCAGGGTTTTTTCCCCCCCACAACGTTTTCAGTAAAAGTTTCCACACTTACTTAGTGCATCCCTGCACTTTGGTCAACCTTCTTCACATCTATTTATTTTGTGTCATTGCTTTTTGACGCTTTAACGGAAAAAGTGGAGTTTGTGTTAGTAAGAATGTTTGGGAAAAGGTTAGTGGAAACACTGGAACTGGAGGCCGGGATTCATTGTAGTCTTGGTTAGTCTTGACGTCTTACTGGGGTAGCGGCACCAAGATATCCACGTAGTTGATGGGGAAAAAGCCCGAGTTGCCTTGCAGCATTCCCTCGTACCAATTCTCGTCGATCTTATTGGTCAGGGTGATGATGTCGCCCTCCTTGAAACCTAGCTCACCTTCGTTCTCAGGGTCGAAGTCGTACAAAGCGCGGCAGCAGGGCTGGTCCAACGGGGCTGGGAGGGGAAAACGAAGGATCAGAAAAAGCTTGAAGAGGTTTAAAAGCTCCATATGAGAATCACATTAAAGACTCACCTGGAGACCTGGCTGTAAGAAAGAAAAAGAGGAAGAAACACAGCAACTGTAATACTTCTGTCATGAGAAATTATGATCAGATTCACAGATTTTGAATCAGAACCTCAACATTTTTGGAAATGCACTTTTAGAGTTTCAATGAGAAGATGCTCCCACTTACTTTGTCTCTAGAGTGAATTAGTGAATGACTTTACTAAATTATGGGAGAGGATTAGCAACTAAAGGAGACTTTAACAGAGTTGGTCAACATCTTGACTGAAAAAGCAAAGGAAAGCTTTGAAAGACCCTCAGAAACCCAGGAAATCTGGAAACCTTCAATGTGTTTTTAAAATCAAATTAGGGCAGCTTAAAAGTCTTTCAACCAACCAAGATGACTCTGCTGGGTTGATACAGTGTCCTGTATTCTTAAACCTTTCCATATTTTGAAACACAAGCTGTTTTAGTCAGAGTTGATGTCAAACTAACACTTGGTGCTGCATGATGTTGAATTGGAAGAAAAATTAATAATTTTTACAAATTTTGCAGCCCAAAAAAGTGAAAAGTGTGGAATCTGTTTTTTTATTTAACTCCTTTTACTCTGATTTCAATGTCATTGAAAAAGGAATATCACAAGGTTCTTAGTCCTTTGCTATTTTCTGTCTTCATTAATAACCTTCCATATGTCCATTCTGACTGTCAAATTCATTTATTTGCAGATGATCCTGTAATTTACTCCTCCAGTTTAGACATCTAATGAATCCAAAATTTATTAAAAGCTGATTTCATTCTGGTCCTCAAAGGGTCTTTTTTACAAATAAGGTTTTTCTGAATGAGAATAAATCACATTCCATGTTTTTTTGCACTCACCCAGGTTCTATTCTAACAAACATTAGAGAACAACCAGCATCCTGAAGAAGGAACACGCAGATGGATCAGGACGAAAGTCCTGGAGGAGTTTAAAGGGGCAGTATTATGTGATTTCCAGGTACATGGTGCCACTTTATAGCACAATTGAGTGACCATGTAACCTTCAGTTATAAAACTATATACCAAATATGACTTAAAAGAAATTTGACTTTGTAATTTAACGCCTTGAAATTTGGCCTTTGTCTCTTTAAGAAATTCCTGCTCTTTCTGAAACATCCCTCCTCTTTTAACTCTTTAGCAACTTTTCTACTGGCGTTGCACTGAGAAGCATAAAGTGAGCTCAGCATATTGCGTAGTTTCAACCAGGTGTTTGCTAATTGCTGCTGGCTAGTCTGAAGGAGTGGGGGAGGGAATGTGTGACTGCAGCTCTGAGGAGGAGCTGCGGCTTTAAGGCGGAGCTAGGTTCACTGAGGTGTTTTGAATGCTTGCCATGGAGACTAAGGGATCTCCAGGTTTGTTTTTGATGACAGAATAACGATGTGAAGCGCAGAGAAGTCGACTTTACATAATACTGCCCCTTTAAAGCAGGGTAGGTTTAAAAAATATGTCCTAAACTTTCAGCAAACCTATGAAGTCAAGCCACACTTTTCAGATTTTTATAACTCTGCATCCTTGTAATCGCGCTTCAGTACTTAGATCTATTCTGTGTTTGTCTATCACATAAAATGTTATTGAAAATTTTCTGGTTATATTATGACTAGATATGGAAAAGTTCAAGAACTTGTTGAAGCACCGTTTCATGCCACTGAGTCATTTCTTGGCTCTGAAGGGGGAAAACTTTCTGGCTGCATGCAAATAAACCCGGGAGTTACATCATTTTATTTTACCCAGAGGGAATAAGCACATTTCCTAAAGATTTCAGTTACAGATAAACAATAAAACAAAGATTGGTGGGAAAAGAAGGTTTAGAAAGAAACAGCACTGCACTGCAAAAAGTTAACAAAACAAAACAAAAAAAAAAACTATCCTCCAAAGACACAAAGAAGGAAAAAATGAAGATCGAGAAACTTTCCATCCCTTCCCAAGTCACTCTTTCTCACCTGGAGATCTTGCTGCAAAGAAGAAAGGAGAAAATATTTTTAAGCAATCAAACTTTTAGCTCAAGGAAATGATGAACAGACGGAAAAAGACGAAGAGATGATACGTCTAACGTGACAAGAACGTGGGGCGAAACTGAGGCCGGACAGCAAACTGACGGAGAAGTGGGAAAATAAAGAAAAGGGATGAAATCAGAAAACTGCAGTCATGGAAACAGAAACACCAAATGCTCGTCTGCTGGTGAAAACGTTCTGGTCTTTATCAATCAGGATTCCTTTTGCAGGATGAGCAGACAGCACCTGATTTTCTGTTGTTGGTTCAAAACATTTAAGAGCAACACTGTCTTAGAAAACTCTCACCTGGAGACCTGGCTGCAACGGGGAACAGAGGAGAAACGGCACGAGGGAGTAAAGGAGGTCAGGGAATGAAAGAGGCAGACGCACTGATGAGTTTTCAGTGTAAATGGAGGAAATATTGAGAATGAAGTGATTAGAACAGAGATGTGGGAACAAGTTTGACCTGGCTCACCTGGAGACCTGGCACCTGCAGGGAAAACAGAAATCATAAAGGAAAAGGGAAAATGAGGAGTTGTTTGATAAGTGCTGCAAAAATAATGATAGAAAAGGTCCTAATTTAATTTTCTAACATATGTAATTAGTTTTATATAGAATGGAGACTGTTTTACATCTATCTGTTGGATTTATTTTTCTATACATTAATATATTAATTGTAATTTTTTTTTAGTTTTCAAAAATAAACTTGAATATTTCCAGGAATGAAAACTCTAGAATGTTGGAGAAACATCACAATATCGCTACTGCACACATAAAAGCAGATGCTTCAAATTTGTGACAGAAAACAGAAGTGCTCCAGACCACTAGGGGGAGCCAATCACCAAATCGTATGGAACCAGACAATCAGTAAAGATGGGGTGACATTAACAGGATTTCTAGTCTGTAAAAGACTTTTGTCTTTTTCAGTGTTATACAACAACAGCATAGTTCAGTAGGTAATGACTCCAGACTCCCCCTAGTGGACTGGAGGATTTCCAACTTTGGGTTTTATGGAGCAAATGTTCATAATTGCTGTTTCTTTTAATATTTCCATAATTTTGCATTTTACTTCTATTTTCTGTGTTTGCAGTTTTTTGTTTCCATTTGCTGATAGCAGCAGTTTTTTTTTTGTTGAATTAGGTTTTTGTGTGTGTGTGTGTGTCTGTGTGTGTGCGTGCGCGCGCGTGCGTGCGTGTGTGTGTTTTGGAGTTTGCATCATTCATGTGTTTGAAGGAACTCGCACCCTTTACTCCAGGTTTGCATATTAGTTATATTTTTATACAGTATGTAAATATATTTTTGACTATATGTTATAACTGGAATGTTACTATATTGTTTGTAAAACTAGTAAGTATAAATTAAAAGTCAATATCTTACAATTATACAAAAGACAGAACCAGATATTATTTTATTTTCAGAAACACTACAAAAACACAAAATCTTACAGAAATATTTTTTGTCTAGTTTCTACTGCAAATATCGTAGTACATTTGAGATAAAACAAACTTACTTAACTTTTCAGCAAGCCATAGCAGCTTGTTTTAATTTATTGATACAGATGAAAAAGTTCTGGTTTTATTGGCAGATTATTTCACTTATGGGAGAAATATGTTGTTATAAGTGAAGTAATCTGCCAGCGGAACAAGAACTTTTTTCATCAATACTAAGGAAATATTTACTTAAAACAACCTGCTATATTTTGCAGTAATGGTACTTATAATGTATCTCTTTCTTATTTCAAGTGCAATAAGATATATGCAGTAGAAACTGAACAAAAATTATTTGGTAAGATTTTGTGGTTTTGCATCGTTACTGTTTTGACTTGAAAATTAATAATACAAATATTTTAAAAAGACGTTTGAAAGACAGGCAGATAATTGACAATGAAGAAATAAAAGTCCAGAAATGTTCCTAGACGATAAAATGCTGAATGAGCATGTTGTGGCGGCTGGCGGAGCCTCACCTGGAGAGCGAGCGCCGTGGATCCCGCCATTGTGGTTCTCACTGATGCTGAAGTCCAGAGACGTACGAGGCTTCGGTACGAACTCTTTCCTGGGTTTGGTGGACGTATCTCTTATCCTGGCAGAAAACAAGACGTTTGGTTTCATCAGGATACGGCTCAAAAGTGTAACGGCCGTCGTTCTTTGGTGACCGGCGCTGGTACTGACTGTCCGTCGATCTTGCTGGAGAGCTGTGCGAGGATCTCAGCGGACCGGGTGTGGTACTGCAGCTGAGCGTGGACCAGCGCCGCCAGCTGGCTCACCTGTTCCACCTGATGGAGAAACCCGCATAGATGCTCAGTAAATTTCAATTTAAAGATTTTTGTTTGTTTCTAAGAATTGGAATCATGTTATATTAAATTAGGTGGATTCAGCACATAAATGTTACTAATGTAGCTGCAAAGAAACTGGATTGTTTGATGCTTGTTACCATAGTTACAAACTGATGCAAAAAGTTAAACTTTTCTTTATTTTTCTTCACAAATTCTTTTCAGTTCAAATTTCTTAATTTATCCAAAAAAATAGCAATAAATCAAATAAGCAATAAATCAAGTGATCGTAATGATCTGGTGTTTTGGCCTCAACTATCCTTTTTTTTGGAGGACTTAATTTTATTTCTGACATTTTGTTTTATTTTGTATATTTAAAATGTCTCTTGGTTCTAGCATGAAAAGTTCATTAGAATTTAAAGTTTATGGATCTTTAAGAATGTGTTCTTGCACTATCATTATATTACTTGAAACAGCAATATAATCATTTATGGCAACAATCGTGACCGACGATGTAAAAAAGCAATTATCATGTTTGACTTCAGATTTGGCCAATTAAACTCAACCCAGATTCCAGCTGGTGAGGGTCTCAACAGACCCAGGGGGCCCAATCAGTTTCTGCCCAGGGCCCCGAACCATTTTGGACCGTCTGTGGTTGTGTGAGACTTACGTCACTCTCCAGCAGGTTGAACATGCTCTGCTCTGCGACTTCCTTGGAGTCATCGAACTTCTCCAGCGCCGCTTTCAGCTCGTCCTCCGTCACTTTGGCCTGCCGCTTCTTCTTATAGTCAAAGTCCAGACGGCGACCTTCCAGCTTCTTCAGGTGATGCTGCCAACGTCAAACTGACAGTGAGCAGACAGACTCCAGCCCAACTCGAGCTGCTGCTGCTGTGAATAGAACACTCAACCTGGATCTCTTTGAGGTCTTTGTCGTGAAGGTTCTGCATCGGGTCGATGAAGTTCTGCTTCACCTCCATGTCCAGAGCGTCTTTGACCTCACCCAGCTCACGCATGGCCTCTCCGACTTCGATCAGAACCAGACCTGCAGCAACACATGTCAAGTTTAAAAACCAACTTTCTTGTTCAGAGGAGCGGTTCTGTGTCTTTTAGCTTTGCGGCCCACAGCCTCACCAAAGTTGGAGTCCTCTCCGAGCTCCCGGCCGAACCGTTGCATGGACTCTCCTAGGATGGTCTCGGTCTGCGTGTAGCCCGGCCCCTTCTCCTGCCCCCGCATACGGGACATGGAGCTCATCATGCTCATCTTGGCTCTAGTCGCTGGACGACGACAACAAAACACAGAGAAACAGGAAATCTAAATACTGTTTGACCAACTGTTACAGCGCTGAGGTTTATTAAACTTATGAAATGTTTGTGATCAATCGGCAACTAAAAAATAGACAAACAGGACTTGATTAGCATGTTTACTTCTCTGCCATTTTTGCTGTTTGTAATTTAAAACAAGAATATTTTCACATAATGCATACGAATCGCCTTGTCGCAATAATATTACTTAAAAATAATATTAATGTTTATCGCAACAACTTCAGGGGCAATTTATTTCCCAGCAAAATTTGTTATTTTTACATTAATTATGAAATTGGCTTTCATTGATATATTTTCTAATTTTAAGCTAAAATGCCACATAATTTAATAAAAACAGAATAATTTTATATTAAAATATAATGATGGTGGGATTCAACTCAACTTTTTATCCTCACTAAAATGATAAAAAATGCAAGTTTATTTCTGCTTTATATTTAATATTTTTAAAGGCATTTTAACTGAGGCCGTTTGTAAAACTCATGTTTTGTAAAAGTTTAGATTTAATTATAAAGCATGATTTATTAAACAAATGACTGAAAAGAATAAAATATGGTTTTACAATTTTTTACAAATTCCTAAAAACTAACAATTTACTGTAACTATAATAAATTATTGATAATGTATAAAAATTAAACCAATTAAATGTTCTAGTACACAAACACTTTGTGCTACTGACAAAAAAATGTATATCTTGTAAAAATAAACTTTTTCACAGTTAACAAAGCGAGGCGTGAAGCTTTGGACTGGATGAGAGGGAAGCCTCCGTTTTAACTGAAATGTAAGGATTATCATCAAAGATTCAGAAAATGTTACACATTTTACACACATTATTGAACAGTAAAGTGCAGTGTGTCGTGTCACCTGGGTTCGGCTGCAGATACTCGGTGGTTTTTGTCATGATGTCCATTACGGCTCGAGCCGTGGTGTCCACCCTCTGCAAACCAAACACAGAAAACAGGAGGCATGCAGAGCGGGTCAGAACGGGTCAGAACGGGTCAGAGCGGGTCAGAACGGGTCAGAACGGGTCAGAACGGGTCAGAACGGGTCAGAACGGGTCAGAACGGGTCAGAACGGGTCAGAACGGGTCAGAACACGCCAATTCGCAGACAGAAAACACATTTCAGCTGACTGACAGAAGAAATAGTGAGATAAATGTAATGATGCTTTAGGAATTTTAAAAAAGTAAAAATGGACAAAATCTGTAACGGGCAAATGATTTTCATGTTATTGTATAAACATAAATAAAAAAATTTCTACCTATTTTGTATTTTCTGTATGAGATTTTGAGCAAAATAAGAAATATTTAGGAAAAAATTTGTTCATTCATGACAAAAATAATAATAAAAAGACTGTAAAAATAATAAACAACAATAATAATGAACTGAGACATGCCTTTTCCATTTCGGTGAAATCCACATCGAGCTTCGTTCCTTCTGCTCCTCCGACTTTCTCGCTCACTCTCTGCAAAACAAACAACAAGAAGCCACTAGGTAAATAAACAAACCGTGGGGATTTATTTAAACATCTTCAAAATCAACATAAAACATTCAAGAACAAGTACTGCAAGAAATGTAGTATTTTCTAAATAATTTACAGCTAAATTATTTGAGTTTTCCTGCTTTAAGCTAACAGATCTATAGACAAACGCATCAACAAGCTGAATAATAACTTGCAAAAAGCACAAGTAGAGAAATATTTATGACGGCGTATAAATATTTATTTCATTGTAAATAGAAAGAAATAAAGGAAGAGTAAATTTCTGCCAAGAAAATTAAAAATTTTTAGATCAATTTTGAAAATATTTTATCAAAAAAAAAAAGAAAATCCCCCCAAATTTTTCAAATAGTCAAATTCTCAAAAAACATGGAAATTTCCGAGTTTGAAAGTTGAACATTTTTGATCTTTTTCTCTAGCATATTTCCGAGCTATTTATTGTTTTTCTTTCTGGTTTGGCCCTGAGACTCTGCTGTAAATATCTCCTCCTGCCTCCTCAATGTCATCCTGCCAGAATCCTGCGCCTGGCTGTGATGCAGCTACATGCCTTTAGGGGGCAGCAGTGAGATACAAGGCCACACACTGGCTGCAGGGAAATGTCACGTTGTATGACAGTAGAGATGGAGAGCGCCTGGACAGCAGAGGTTGTTTTTCTTAAATGAAGGACAGTTAAGACCCTAAATGTGTCTTTGCTCCTTACTTTCCTGTGAAATTGCCGTGACGTCCCTAAATGGAGCGAATAAAACGGTTCCTGTAGAGGTGGCAGAGCACAGAGGGCTGATATGTGGCACAGAGAATTGGGTTTTATGTTTTAAGGACTGAGCTTGTGGCAGCAGTTTGTGCTTGGTGAGATTTTCTGTGAGTCATCCGAGTCTCTTTTGATCCCACATGTGAAACCGCCTAATAACCTGGCAGCCCTGCAGAGCACAAGCACATCTACAGACTCAGAGGGAAGCTTCACGTCCTGTCATTGATTTTTCTTTCTTTTTTTTACCACAGAACTTGAACATGTTTGCCATGGAAACAGGTGAAGGTGCAATGTGAACGTCTCTCCTACTTCGTTTTGTCAGACTAGAGCAGCAGGAGATGCACAAGATGTGAGCAGGTGAGTCCAAATTACTCAGAAAAGCAACAAAAACTGAGGAGTTGCTTTTAAAATAGAGCTCCAGCTAATAGAAACCTCTTCATCTCCAAAACAGGACAGTAAACAGATAATCAATACAATAAAATTATTTCTTAGTAAATGATCCTTTCAATTATCTGTACCTATAATCTTAATTACCATCTGGAAAACATTTGTTTTATACTTTTATCACCTTCCAATCAATTCTAGCCATATTTATATTTTACACTAAAAACAAAGAAAATAATAAAATGAAGTAAAGGGAAACTGTCAGATTTATGATCATATTTCAGCTGAAAATGGTTCTTGGTAATTTACTTAAACTCATATTCTGGCCACATTATTTTGGATTTCCTGGCGGTTTTTCCTGAACTGCTTCACTCCTGGATGAACCATGAAGGAACCAGCAGGTGAAGTTATCTGGTTGCAGCTGCAGTAATGATTTGCATGCACAGATAAAATAGTTCATGATTTCTATGGAAATTAGGAGTCAGGCCAAGCTGCACACTCAGCACTCGCAGATATTAATAAGACATCTGAGCTGATAACTCAGAGCGGCAGCATGAGAGAACGGACGAGCTTTTTATTTTGTCACGCTGAAATATTTAACCCTGCATAATGAAGCCATTGTTTTACATTTCTCTGACAGATGGAGCAGCTATTCTTTGGTCTGAGGTGTTAAATGTTGTACTCTGGAAATCTGAAGGAAAAAAAACAAACACATTTTCTCTGTGACATTCAGAAACTGTGAGCAGCAAATCCACATTTTCCACTCTGGGATTTTTGCTGGCGTGTTAGTAAAAATAACTTCTTCGTCATATGCTCAGAAAAAACTGGGCAATTAAATAAGAAAAATATTATAAATTCATATAAAAACCTTTTTGCATTAAAACTACAAAAAGCTTAAATCACAAGAGTTTAAAAGTTAGTTTTTCAGTCTGTTAGTTCTTTCTTTCTCATTTCTGTAACAGTTGTTGTTAATATAAACGCCACTAAAACTTTTCCCATTTTGTCAAACAAACGCCGATGTATTTAACTAGATGTTTATGCGATGGACCAACAAAATAATTATGAACTGGAAGGAGAATTACGCATCAATTCCAACAATATTTCACAAAACAAAATCTGAAAAGTGTGGTGTGAATGTGTATTTAGTCCCTGGTTGTGGGAAAGAGCAAATATGGCTTCGTTTGGTCAACAGTGGCTTTCTTCTTACTGCAACCTACAGATGTTTTTATTAAATGTTTCAGCCTCTATATCAACAATGATTTTTGTTCTTGGATATTTTGCATTTTGCATTTTTAGTAGTTTGCATCATGTCATTCTTTAACCGCAGTCATGCTTGGACATGTTGCATTTGGAGTAAAGGATCCGCAAGTCATGAAGGATAGAAAAATAGCTTTAAATTCACCGCTTTTGTTTCCTAATCCAATGGATCTTTAATGCCACTTTTTTGAAGTTGAACTAAATATTTTGCTTCCTAAGAAAATGATCTGAAAGCTAAATCTGTAGTCTGTAAGCTAAATATTTAGTTTGTAAGTTACATATATATTGTGGATATAAATATTTCATTTACAAGCTAATTATTTAGTTCTGAAACTAAACATTTAACTTGCAAATTAAATATTTTGCAGTATATTTAGAAATGTATGAATTATATGGTGAAAATATGAAGAATAAATCCATTTTTATTTAGAGTTTTATTCTCTATGACAGGCTTACAAAACCCCAAACAGTGATGTCTATTTTTCACTGTGACCTATAATATTCGGTCCCTTAAAGGCACAGGGGACTCGGTTAAAGCGTCTCGCTCAGCAGCCGACCCTCACTGCTGCGCAGCCATGATGCTAACGGCGCCGCGTTGCTCTGGCTGAATCTGCTTTCCAGGGAAGGACAGCACAAGGTGAAGCGAGCAGCAGAGACGGCAGAGTGAAGTGAACCTGAAGGAGATCAGCCGGTTGCAGGGAAATAACAGCGGTGATGCAAAGGAGGCATAAAGCTCCCTGCACGATGGAGATAGACTCATCTAATCAGCTCGTTTGAACAAAAATGATGGGGAGTGGGCGCCACACGGCTCGGTGGTAAAACAGCCGCGCCGTACACAGAGGCTACAGGCCTCAACACAGTTCAATTACTGAACGTCGTCGTCATCTTCCTGTCCATAAAAACTTTTAAAACATTACGAGTATGCTCAATAATCAGAGTAACAGAAATGTAAAAACAACAAATCCACCAAAAGAAACAAACTGAAAACAAAGTCATCTGCTTGTAATCGCGAAAGGACACAATTAAATATGTGTGAAATATGGGTTGTAAAAATGTTGCTAAGTTGAGTTTGCATGTTTTTCTTCTGCTGCACATGTAGGATTTGAACAAATTCTCAAAAGACACTGAGTGATTCAAACACGTGATGAAACTGATGCTGGTTGCAGCAAAGGCTCAGGAATAATATCTAACCTAATGCAACACCATGGAAATGCTTCACTCCCCTCAGCATGCTGAAAGCTTGAACCGTTAACTACTTTCTCATAAAACCAGCTTATGATTGCTTGAGCTCTTTTGAGCATTAACAGAGGATTGAAATTTCATTCCCAGATTGTCGTTTGATCCATTAATCCACTGATCCATTAATAAGATTTAAAACCAAACAAGTTAGTGATGATCCAGAAAAGTAGCACACCCGGTACCGATGCAGTTTGACACTGTGAATTTCACACCATTGTTACCAGTACTGATGAACTATTCTGCAGAGCAGCACATCAAAATTAACCTTGAAGACATGGCAGGATTTCTGTTCTGATTTGGAAACAACATCCTTTGCTTGACATTACAAATGTTATGCTAACTCATCAGCTAGCTGTGCCACAAAGGAAGGGGAGAGTTTCAGCACTACACTGCTATTGATTATTACTATTATTTAATTACATAAACGTTTAGATGTGGTTTGTTTCATGTGATGAAAATTACCATTTTGCTATATCCAAAAAGAAAATCAATCAGTACCTCCACCCTGCGTCACAGAGACTGATGTCCAGCAATGAATGGAAAACGAGAGTTGGTGCTAAATCTGCAGTCATAAAGGCAGGAAATATTTTTGATGCTCTCTGTCTGTAACTCTACTTCACAATATATTTAGCAATCCTTTCTAGAGTTGGAGCTCATGATTCTTTTAGTTATTGATTGATAATTAATTGACTATTTGGAGCTAAATAAGTGGAACATTCTGCAGATTTTTTGTTTGCCGTTTAAACAATTAACTACAATAACGTTACTTTTGAATGAGAAAGTGAACATTTTATTACCTAAAATGTGACGATGCAGCATTTCTATGGTGAATGCCTGATCATTTGTAGCAGCAGATGAATCTGAAGCTTATAAAATACTTCCAATATCAAAAGTTTTTTATTATTGTCTTAAAACCAAAATGCATTTTTGTACAGATTTGGCCAAATTACAGCCCTAGTTGTCCTGTTCTTTCAGCAAAAGGCATATTTTTAGACTCTGTATTTTCCAGTCAATAATTAATCAATTATTTCAATAATAATCTCTCCATTAATCCAGTCGTAATTGTCAAATCTAAATATTTCTTTTGCCTGTAATCTATAATCTTACTGTATGAATCTATCCTAAAGTATATTTTATTATAAATATCAACTCTTTGATTGAAAGAGACAAATAATCAACAAACTTGGATTAAATCTGAGTGTTTTGCTTCTCTCTCCTGGCCTGCATCCTTCAGTGCAGGATCTGCAGGTCGCCTTCAGGTATTTTCTCTGCAGAAACGCAGATCTGCCCACGCAGCTTAATGGAAACTCTTGGCACACCCAGCAGCAGAGTTTAAACTGCAGCTCCTTCACACCTGTGGGAGACACGCTCTCATAATGCTATTAAAAGACTGAGGCACAGTGTGACACACAGAGCAACTGCAGCTTAAGCTCAACTTCCGGAATAGATTACACAGTTCACAGAAGATGAAGCAACAATATTACAATATAATATCTGCAGTGCATAAGCCAGGGCCTTGTGTGATCTCTTCCTGCATCTGCCAAAGCAGATGCAGGAATAAAGTGAAGCTGCCTGCAGTTTAATACTTTCAGCTTTGTTGTTGTTTTTCTTCCCTCTTTGGTTTTATTCTCTTAATTTGATCTTGGACCATTCAAAAGCAGCAAATATTAAAGATCAGGATTGTTGCCTTCACACCAAATTAAAAATTCATACGATTTCTACAATTACACTAAAATGAAAGTAATTCTCCAAATGCTACAAATTACATTTTACCATGAAGCGCCACCCTGTCATCCTCTACATGCCCAGGTCTGTTGCAATAAGCATTTAATCAATTAAGAGCATGATAAATTTAAACAAACTATAAGAAACTGGATGAATGATGTTGTTTAGAGAGACAACATCATTTATTTATTTGTTGTTTTGTTTATTTATTTTGGATCTTTGAGAATGTGAGGAGAAATATTATGCTATTGCCAACATTATCGTTTATCGCAATAACTTCTGGGACAATTTATCGTCATCATGACAGGCCTACCCACTCTGCCCTGCCTTTTGCTAGTCTGTAGTCAGAAAAGGGGAAGCTAATGTCTCTGCAGACCACACACATCCTGGACACAAACCGTCAAGTTGGCGCAGCAGGGACAGTCTCTTCCTCCACAGTGTCTCTTTGACTGCAGCCTCTGCTTCCTCTTTTGCAGAAACACTATATGTATCCATATATTTACATAAAAAAGTTTCATTTCCAACAATTATTTCTATACAATTCATAAATGTCTTAATTGAGAACAAAACAGAACCATATTCAAATTTCTTGGCCATTAAAGCTGATTATGGTGCTGACTCAGCAGAATCTTATCAACTACATGCTGCAGAGTTTGAGTGTTTTGGTGACTTATTGTCAGGTCAGTACACAAGTTTCCACAATAATGTTCTGTTTTTCAATGCAGCCGCTGCTGCCGTCAAGCTGGTGAAAATACTGAGCGGCTGTTTTCAGTTTTCTCCTGTTTCTAAATCTTTTTCATCTTTTTCAGGAACAAATCCTGAGAATTTGATTTGATCTCTCAGTTTCTGTCGTCTCTTGGCTGGACTTCTGTTATCGCTCCATCTGCAGTTTTTCTCTTATCTGCTTCCTTAGTTTGGACAAACGTGCTGCTATTGTCACTTTATAGACTGAACAGATAAAAAACCTTTTTTAGACATTCAGCCTGCAGAATTTTAAAAACTAGAAGACGAAGAACATGTGGCAGAATAAAACTTTTCATATCAGTGCAGGGACTGAATCGCTTCATGTCTCTTTATCATCGTTTGTTTTCCTTTTGTAAAAACATTTTTAAAGCCATGCAGACGTTTACCAACGGATCGACAGCAAAACCGAGCGTCAGCATCGGAGCTATTCAGTCTCACCAGAAGTTTCACAGAACCCAGCTTTTATTTTGAAAATGCTCTTCATCTGATTGAAGATGAAGTGAATTTGCATATCAGCTAAATATTTATCTCTGAGCTAGATATACATTTAGATATCTTAGAAATAAATATTTTGATTGGAGCTAAATAGTTAGCTTGCTAACTAAATATTTAGTTCAGAGCTAAATATTTAGTTACCAATTTTGTTTTAATCTAAATATTTTGTCACAAGCAAAATAACTTAATATTAGCAACTAAATATTTTGCTTGCTTATTAAATATTTAGTTTGAAACATGTTTTCAAACTAAATATTCTGACTGAATGGATGTGACGATGAAAATATGATTTTGAACAATGAACTTTTTTCTCCACTGATGGATTAAATGACACCAATTATTGGTGTAACTTTATAAATAGCACTCCAAAATGTTCTAATTACACCTCAATGCTCTTTACATTGAACTGCATTCAACCTGTCATTCCACTGCCTTGCTCATTGGAACATCAGCATGTGGCAGGAGGAAGCTGGAATTGAACCGACAGCTTATGAAAGACGTCTACCCACTGAGCCACAGCCTCGTCAAATTAACTAGTTAATGAACATAAATATATTATAGCTTCACATGAATCTGTTTTCTGTGAAAAACACAATTTTAGCGTTAGCATTGGTCACATGGGGCCCAATGTGCATGTCGCCGCCGCCTCCCACTGGCCCCTCCTAGTTTCCTGCTCACCCGTCTAATCCAGGCCGGGCACATGGAGGTCCCTGCCTTAAATACACTGACGGTGGAGGAGGGAGATTAAAAATGACAGGAGTGATTAGTGAGGCTGTCAGGAGGACAGCTCCTTCTGTTGGACAATAACCAGGAGGACCTGATGCTCCTGAGAGCATTAAAACACCCTCAGCCTGCTTCCTCCTGCTGAAACACATCCAGTGTTCAGGTTTTTATGGGACAAATCAAAGTGATTGATTTGTCCATAAAATGATGAATAAAATGATGTTTTATTCTTCCTCTCTAGTTTTATATCCATAATTAAAAGTAACTGTAACCAATGCAGATTAACCTCAACTCAGGACTAAACAGAGTCTGTCTGCTTTTTAATCTGAGAATAAATCCAGCTGTTCTCTGACACACACACACACACACACACACACACAAACACACACTCACTCACACTCACTCTCTCCCTGTTACATTTACCAAAACCAGAGTTGGGTAGGAACTAGTTACATTTACTCAGTTACATTTATTTGAGTAACTTTTTTGAAAAATATATTTTTTTACTATACTTGACTTTTTACTTTCACTTGAGAAAAATTTCTGGATTCAGCCAGCAGTCCTGTAAATCCGATACACAATTTTCCATTTTCACTCTTCACTAAATTACAGCTTTGTCTAGGAAAATAGGTCATCTTAATGGTATTTTAATTAATATAAATAGATATGTTACACTTTATTGATGTACATTTTAAGAATAATCTGTTAGTATTTCTTCAGGGAATCCACAAACGAGCCAAAGGTTCTGACCCGA